CAGCAGTTTGCATGAATGGAAATAAAGACATATGAAGACATTTTTTATTTGCTGCCAGCTGAACTCAGGTCTGTTTGTGAGCTTGCAGCTTTTCACACTACTCACTGTAAACAACAGTTCCATGGAAACATAAAGGTGGCAAGCTTGGTCATCTGGGTAAGTGAGCTGTTGCGCAAACACCTCTGATAATTGACGTGCTGGATCTGGTTTCCTGCACCTGTCACACTATCTAACCTACTCCTGGCTTCGTAAGTAAAGCCAAGAAACCCAAGAAAAGAAACAACAACAACAACAACAAAACAAACAGAAAATAATTGGTCAAGCAGAAACCGAAATTCTTTAATGATTCTCCAAATAAAGTTCCTTTGAACTTGTAGTCACCGTGACAGAACCTTGCAGCTGTTCCTGATTCTATAAAATTGCAATACAGTCAAAGCATTTTGAAATAATTTGTTGGCAGAAAGAGAACAATTAAAATTAAGCCAGGAAACACAAACTTCTATATAGTTCATAGTGTAATACCAAGCATTCTGTTGCAGTGAAATGCTTTCACTAGCCCATATATATCATACCATCTTAAATCAACTTAACACTTAACACTGATATTCATAAAAAATGTTAAAAACATGAACATTTATATATCAAGTTTTTCAATTTTTCAATATTTATATATTTTTGAAATATATGAATAATAATATATGGAAAAAAGTCCCATATTTGAGCACTAATAAAACACTTCAAATTTGAAAAGTGGCTAGTTTCTGAAGGTATGTCAGAATCAGAATAGCTTTATTGTCCCTGTAACGAGTACAATGAAATTAGGTGCTGTCCCTGTGGTACTGAGAAGAACAAAAATAAATATGAAAAGGAATGGAAGAGAGAATCTATAAAAGGATATTTAAGAAGGTAAAGAATATATACTAATACCAAAAATTTAAAAAAAGTACATTAGTTACACAAAAAAGCTGTACCTAATGCCCGAGATTGTAATAAGCAGTTAGGTGGTATTTAATATTCTATAACACAAAGTTTTCCATGGTCAGTCTGTGTCGGTGTATGCCTGGGCTTGGGTCTGGGGTTTGCTGACCCTTGGCTCAGTGGGACATGTTCATGGAGGGTGGATTGCCCCTTCCTACCACTTCCCATTGGACATTGCATGTGGATAATACTACTACTTCTGGACATGTTTTGGTGTGGTTTCCTTGCCTGTTTGAAAGTTGCCAGATGTACCATTCCACAAATGCCCCCCACAAAGATATTTGAAGGTAAAATTTCATAGCAATCATTATAAATGTTAAAATCAGTTTTTTTAGCTTTACTGTTGGGTTAGCATAACAGCCATCAAAACACAATGGATTT